ACTGGATGAGCATGGTAAATAATTGCACTTTAATTACAGAGCAATAATCTACAGAATAACAGACCATAACTATAGCTGAGAAACATGACAAGCAAATAAGAGAAAACAGAAGCTGTGATCGATGTATGGAAAGGAAGGTAAAACATGTTTAAAAACCATTCATACATTAATCCATTTAAGTAGTTTGCTGTCAATTTATTTAACCACAGTTGACTTTAGAAATCTACTCATTTTTTAAAATTGGTATGAGTGGTAATATACCAATTTCCTGTTAAATAGACAAATATAAGCCTAGGACTCAAACATATGTTTCATACATATCCTACTTACTGTATATGTTTCCAAAATTAAATATCATTGAGTTCAGTAAAATTTATATTTGGTAAATGTCTACATAACTATTACCATATTATTCCTATAGAAGAAAATATCAGGGATTTTGGAACACTATCAGAAAATAGAATTCTAGTTGGATCTAAGTAGGTCTCTGTACCTTTATTTGAAGAATTCTTCTTTAGAAATCAAGTAAGACTGAAAACAAAATATCCAAACTTAAACACAATTCGGAAACGAATGGTAACTTCTGGGTTCAATTTAATTGTTAAGGATAACTGTAACAATGGGTTTTACAAAGATATTTCAGTTTTGTTGTATGATTTTAATGAGATGTACGACAGGCAGTACCCATGCTTTGCTGCTATCTAGTCACATTTGTGGGGGATTGGGAGGACTGGGATTGGGAGGAGAAAAATAACTGGGGGGGGGGATTCTCTTTTTTTAAATGAGTTGCGATAAGAAGTTGGAAATAGAAAATAGGTTTCTTCTCATAAGGCAGACAATCTGTGGAATTTATAAAACAAGAGGATAAATATAACATGACATGGACTGTTTTACTAAACAAATGAATCTGGGACTGTCAATGGGACCAAGAGGTTTAGTCTTCTGAGCTTTCATAATTGTTCTGGAACCCATCCTCAGGTAACTTCTCTGTACCAGAATGTGACACATGGAATGTATGTGAAGACCAGGGATGAAATCCAACAGGTTCTGACAGGTTCTGGAGAACCGGTAGTGGAAATTCTGAGCAGTTCGGAAAACCAGTAGTGGAAATTTTGAGCAGTTTGGAGAACTAGCAAATACCACCTCTGCCTGGCCCCAGAGTGGGGTGGGAAGGGAGATTTTGCAATATCCTTCCCCTGCCACACCCACCAAGCCACCCCATGCCTACGAAGCCAAGCCCACAGAACAAGTAGTAAAAAAAAAATTGGATTTCACCACTGGTGAAGACTACACCTGATAATTGGAAGAGTTCAGGGATAATCCCTCCTTACAAAAGGATAGAATAGGAATGCAAAAAATTCAAGATGAATTTGTTAAGTGAATCTAGGAAAATTGTTATTTTCTGACTGAAAAGCTCTGAGAGTTGACAATGGACAGAATTTGAGGTGCAACTTCAGTTTATTTAAGCAGCCGGTATACAGATTTTTTCCTTTCAATGAAGCAAATGGATAAAGAAAGTTTATTATATATCTTTTTAGTTAATTTCAATATTTATAGCCCACTCCTATCCATAAGAGCTGTGGAAGAGGGAGAACAAAATTTTAAAAAGTGACTACATATATAATAAACAAAAAACTCACAATGGCAAAACAACAGATAGATTGAGTGATTGAAACAAGTAACTCATACATAGATTTTATTGTAGAGCATTGCAAAGTTTGAACAAAAATAAAAAAATATACATAATAGTGACAAAAAATGAACTGCTTTTAAATAAAAGATCTATATCAATGGTTCCTAACCTTTTTTTGGCCATTGCCCCACCTAAGTATCTCTAAAATCCTGATGCCCCCCCCCCCCGACATATAACTCTTACTTTACTCAAAAAGTGAACTCTACTCATGCAGAGGATGCCTAAAAGGCCATTAACTTGGTTTAAACAAGGTTCAAATTGCCCCCATTAAAAATCAAATTGCCTCCCTGTGAGGTGTGGACCCCACGTTGGGAACCACTGATCTATATAGAATATAGAACCAGCTCAGTCTTTTAACAAATAAGTAAATCTAGATTATAAAAAACCATCTATATCTATATCTATATCTATATCTATATCTATATCTATATCTATATCTATATCTATATCTATATCTATATCTATATCTATATCTATCTATCTATCTATCTATCTATCTATCTATCTATCTATGTGTACCCTTTTTACAATATAATGTATCAAAAATCAGCACAGAATATATCTCATGAATTAACTCTAACAATTGGCGTGTCATCTTTCTATTTATATAAAATAATTCTTTTAGCCAAACCCTAGCCTCGATACAACCAGATTTCTTCATAAAATGTGAAAATCCATATTTTTGGAGTGGAAGTGAGCATCATATTTATAGCTACTATGTTTTCTCCCAGTTGAATGAACAAATGTGATAAATGGTTCTGCTAAAACATCCAAGCCGTATTTGTTTTAACAATACATAAAAAACACAAATTGTTCTTAAGTACAATTTGTACAATACATTTGTATTTGTACAATACTTAGGTACAATACTACAAAAGAGATATAAAGGTATGTGAGAATGACCTTGTGAGATGGGGGGAGGGGGAGCTGCTGCCTAGGAAACATTCAGATAAGAGGGACCATAGCCCTTAGCTGCCTAATGGACAGAGAAGGAAATTTAGAAAGTAAACTAACTTTTCAGGCTGTAAAAGAGACAGTGGACAATTATTTACTTTAAGGCTACATTAACAAAATCTCCCAAGTATTATAGATTTTCAGGATTCTGTTAAAGTAGTTTTATAATAATGTAGAATTAGCAAATCTGGTCATGTTTCCTATATCAGGGGTCTCCAACCTTGGCAACTTTAAGCCTGGCGGACTTCAACTCCCAGAATTGGGAGTTTCCAAGGTTGGAGACCCCTGTCCTATATGGTCTATCTGGGAAAACTGACAAGAGATGACTCATATAAATTATAGTGAAAATGTAACCTCTCAAAATTTCCTAAATAGCCGTTAGTAGTCAGTTGATTCATACTGTGAATTCCTTGATTGTTTCTGGAATCCATATAAAAACATTTTCCCATCTTCCAGTTATAAAAATTGTTTGGAATGATGATGGTTTTATTTTTTATTTTTGTTCTAAAATAAAAAAATGTTTTTGCAAAAAAAAAAAATCAACAAGGTCATTTTCTTTTGTGAATCTGGGCAAAAATGTAACCATTTCTCTATCAATACCCAGATATGTCTAGTAACTCAAAGTTGGCAAAATCCATCTCTCTTCACTGTAAACTGACCCAAGGACTTGCCAAGGAGTCACCTTTATAAAGGAGCCCAAAGGACACAACAATAATCATTAAGCCTACATCCTTACAAGGTACATCAATTTTGTCAAAGTAAATCAAAGGTTATATGTTGTCATAATAACTTGAGAAAGTGTATCAATAGCAAGTACCCTTCTACTCCAGATTAACCTTATGAACAAAAAAGGATAACCCATGCACAAAAGGAAGAGGTTAATTGGATTACAAAAGTTTAGTATCCTCATTAAAAATTTAGGGGAAAAAATATATTAAAAAAAATATTGAATTAGCCCAGTGGAACCACATATGCTTACTGCATACAAATTGCTCATATGGGTTCAAAAACATGGAAAAATGAATAGAAAAGCTGGCAACTAAATCCCAAATTCAAATATGTAATTCTCTCTTAATGCAAAGAACTGTTTCAAATATCACTGTATGAGCAAATTCCACTTATAAAAATGGATTTTTTAAAATTTTAAGTCCTTATAAAAATGGACTTACTCCATTTTTGTATTTTGTATTCAGGCCCTCAGGTTTGAGTGTGAAAGTTCTCATAAAAAACAGCATTTGAAATGGGTATATAAATTACACTATACTCATATTAACTTTGACTCAATTGAGCTGCTATTCTTCTCTTGAGAACTCAATTCACGAGATAAGATCACGTTTAAAAACCTCCTGATAACTGAGTCTTAAGGTGATATATTGGACATTTTGACAAGATTCAGTTGCCTGCTAATCACACGGACTTTAGGACTTTTTTCACTGCTTGTTTGAACCTAGTAGTGTTTTTCTTTGCCAGAATTGAAGGTAAACAAAAATAAGAGGACATGTCAGTTATTTACACTGTTTTTATTAGTTTTTTTAAATTTACAAGACAAGATAAAAATGTATCTAGTAAAATGCACATGGTGATAGCCAAAGAAAGCCAAAAAAAGAAAGAAATGTATCAAAACATTTTTTTTAGATGACTAGATTTTAATTTTAAAGTTAATTTTAGTCAGAAACCATCTTAAAACAAATTAAAATCTACATGTGTTCCTTATAAATTTTAACTGAAAATTGCTAACATCAATTTATTTTTTAAAAAGTATAGAGATGTCTTTACACTTAACCCAGAGTGAAACATTTTCCCTTTCTGGGAAGGGACAGAGATTTTATGTGACAAAGCAAACATTGTGTTCCAATACCAGCCTTTCAATCTGTCATTATTTCCTGTGAATTCATTCTTGCTTCCCCCCCCTCAAAGCAAACCAAAGATAATATGTGCTGTCATTATTTCAAATCAGTTTCTGCATCTGATGATGCCTAGCCTTACCTGTAGCACATTTCAGAAGAACAAACAACAAATGAAATTAAATGATGCCCTAGAAAGTTTGGATGAGATGGCTATTCATTATAGCATGTTCTGAAACTTGGGTCTGAGAAATAAAAGCAAAGTTCATAATTAGGAACTTTTAAAATTGCCTATTGATAAGTACTGTGGGTATCAATAAGTGACTTAGAATGGTTTTCTTTTAAATGAATATACTGTATGTACATTAAGATCCCCCCCCCAGTTTTGTCTGTTTTGTAGCAAGGGTATTTTTGTAATCCATATCTGAGCAGGGACATATTTGACTCTAGGAAAAGGGGTCCACTTCCAGTGGAAACTGATACATACAAGTCATAACACTGAAGCCCACTTTGCATTAGTGCAGGACATGTTCTGCTATGCAATTTATTTTCCCATGGCTTTATTGTAGGATGACCTGATTGGTTCAAGGCTGAGTAGATTTTTTGTTCTTCATAGTTTTGACATTCAAATATAGCTTCTTAAGATGGTGTGGAAAAAGATGGAGTAAAATAATCACATTAAAAGTTTGAAGAATAAAACAATCCCTATAGGGAAAAAAAAGGGATATTAATACAGAAGATGTATAGAATAATAAACCATAAGCAAAAAATGTTACTCATGCTCAGATAAGTCCATAGAGATTGATTTAATCTAGTTATATAGTTGCCCTACTTAGTATACAACTCAGGCTTACATTCATTATCAACAAACAGTGACAAGTCAATAAAAATGCATAATAAAACAAAGTATAAAAATGTAATCTCAATCAACTTCATAGAAATGGATGAATGCTGGGGGTGGTAGTGATGGAAATCATCATATGATTCATACCAGTTCCAGTCCCTGATGAAAAAACAGTCCTTAATGCTGTCTCAAAGACAGACAGGGTCAGAACGAACTAACTATCAATTCCCAGAAGCAGATCTTTAACCAACTTGATTTGTTCAGGGATGTCAAAACCATTAGAAGCAGTTTGGTCAATGAAGACCACTAGTTCACAAAACATAATTGAACTTATTGTTAAATTATTATTCTGATGTTATCATTGATAATAGCAAATTTCTGTCACTTTGCTTCTTGAAAAATCTTCTATCTAAAATGGTCACTTGAATTGCCCTTTTGTAATGGAGGGACAATTTGACAGCTATGCTAATATTCAAGTCATCTGAGGAAACCCCCCTTTTTTATTATTATTGTTGAGGTCTTTTAAAAAATCTGCTCTGATAGACAGTGATTAGATAAAGAATGAGGAACTGTCCATGGCTCAATCTATAACCTTGCCTTTTAGCTCTTGAAATTGTCATTAGATTATTTATCTCATTTATGAATGCCTGAATAGTCTTTAATTAGTGTTTCAATTATCATTTAAATATTTGTACATCAAGTTGAATAAAAAGCAGACAGCTGAGTCTTGAGACAAGTGGCAGTGGCATCAGCAATTCCCCAAGGGGTAGCTTGTTTGAAGGTTAACAATTCAAGCAAAAGCCGTTAATCAGCATAAGTACTTTTGGCTGGAGACATCCACACTGAGAACAAATGCCTGGTTTCTTTGATCTTAATGAACTAAGATGCATTTCACATATCACAGCAGCTGCCAGATTCTAAACTGCAGCAGTTGCCAAAGACAAGGGCAAAGAAGTCACATGGTTCTCAGTTGCCTGATTTTACTTGCTGGGTTACCCTCATTATTTATTTGCTTACTTACTACTTTTTCTTCAGGAGTTTAGATGGTATATTCTTTCCTTCAGTTTTAGCGCTAATATCAGTCCTGTGAAGGAATGAAAGACAGTGAAGAGTCCAAAGGCAATCAGCAAACCGGCTACAGGGCCTAGGGTAGTTACAGAATAGAGCTGGAAGGGATCTTAGAGGTCTTCTAGTCCACGGGTGTCAAACTCGCCACTTCATGTTGATGTCAGGTGACGTATCACATTTTTTTTACCTTCACGGTGCTTGGGTGGGCATGGCCTGTGCGTGACGCATCTGGCCTACGGGCCGCCAGTTTGACACCCCTGTGCTAGTACAGACCCATGCTCAAGCAGGAGATCCTATACTATTTCAGACAAATGGTTGTCCAATCTCTTCTTAAAAACCTCCAGTGATGAAACATCATTCTGAAGGCAAGCTGTTCCACTGGTTAACAGTTCTCATTGTTAGGAAGTTTCTCCTTAATGCTAAGTTGCTTCTCTCCTGATTAGTTTCCATCCATTGTTTCTTGTTCTGCCTCCAGGTGCTTTGGAGAATAGTTGACATCCTCTTCTTCCTGCCTATCCTAGCCCAGCATCTTAGCATTGTATACCACATTGGTTCTCAATGATATTTGTAATGATACTTTTCTTTTCTATACTGCTCCTATAGGTCTTAGAACCAACATTATACAATTGTTAGAGGGATGGGATGAATAAGGGACAACCCAACTTCTTTAAATTCTTGTTCAGATATGAACTGCAGATAATACCTTATATTAGCATTTTAGTCAATAGAGCTGACTGAGGAACATTTGTTTACTTAATGTTCTTTAAGTCTGAACATTTGAAAAATGTCAAGGCAATCATTCAGACATTTGGCTTAATGTTCAAATACTAGGCTTTTTGTAGTCACAACTAGTCCTTCATTTCTCAATAGTTAAGGATTAATTTTGAATATTTAAGGCTGCCATGGAGTTCAGGGATAGTATTTTTTATTTGGAACAGTTGTCTCCTTATGTATATCAGAAAAGATAAATTTTGCTTAATAAGTGAACAATGAAGTAGGTTTTTAAATGTATTATACTTTTCCCTTTGCCACCAGCCTACTTTCATTTGCCTAGCCTATTCAGTACTTATCTTAGCTTTTACATAATAATTATTCTTCTAGTTCTATTATTTATCTCAAGGTTCCAGAAACATTGTACCACTCTGCCTTGAAGTGGACCTCTTTTTTCCAAGACTGGTTGCCCTTGACACTGCATAATGGCACTAGCTTCCATACAATGCTCTCTTTTTTCTTTTTGCTCATCTCTTTTGCATTGTGCAGCACTGACTATGAATGTAACAAGGCATCTGACGACAGCTTGGAACATGAGGATGGAAGTGGGAAGGAAACAGGATCTTTTTCTCTTAATTCCCTTTCTCTTCTTAGGACACGGCCAATCACTGCTGAGCTTCTTGCGTCTTTGCACCTCCCTTAAAAGCTGTCCCTCTTGGTTCTTAGGATAGCTGTCCAATCCATTATCTGAGATCTTCATGAGGTTGTTCTAGGTTTTCAATGCATGTCATGTCACTTCTCCCAACACTGTTACATTACAGAGCCTTTCTAAAAGTATGATGGTAAAGCAGCCAGATAGGTTTTATTACAAAAGAGTTTTATTCTGCAAACTGGATTGATATACAGTAAATAAACTGGGTTCTTGTATTAAGCAGGTTGTAAATTCTAATGTGCTATATATGTAGGTGTTATCTCTTTATACATTTAGGAGTATACTTTACAGGCTTACGTATTAATTTTGCAACTCAATATATTTTGATTTCTTACTTAGGTTTACATTATAACTTCTAGATGCTTATTAGATTCTCTAACCAATTCCTTTGTCATCTTCAACCTTCTTCAGATTTAACCAGGAACCTCATGATATGTTCTGAATGTCAGCCTTGGAAGCCATATTGGGTCTGCCACTGTCATTTTTTGACAGTGTCATATTTGCCAGACTTTGCATAACAAAGGGTTGGAGAAACAAGACTGTCTCCCATCATCTCCTCTAATTTTCCTTCCTTCCCAGGTTCTCTGCCTGAATCTTTAAAAATTACTACTTTTTTTTTTAAATTTGATTTATATGCCGCCCTTCTCCGGAGACTCAGGGCGGCTTACAATGTGCTAAGCAATAGCCTTCATACTTTTGTATATTTATACAAAGTCAGCTTATTGCCCCCACAAACTGGGTCCTCATTTAACCTACCTTAGAAAGGATGGAAGGCTGAGTCAACCTTGAGCCTGATAAGATTCGAACCTGCAGTAATTGCAGGCAGCTGTGTTAATAACAGGGTGCATTAAACCACTGTACTACCAAGGCTCTTATTAATCTTTATTTAATTTATTTAATTTGGGCACCATCAAACTCCAGAACAACTTTGGACCTTTTACTACATAACAAACAGAATACAACATGAAAAAGAGCCTGTAGTACAGTGGACTAAAGCACTGTTATTAACATCTGCTGCTTGCAATTACTGCAAGTTCAAATCCAGAAGACAGGCACCATGACAGAGAAGGTCCACTTCCTAGGTCCCAAAATGACTCTGAAATTGCTGGGCAGACACCACAGGGGATAAGCATTCCTCAAATAACTGAATCCTATGTTATGTAGAGTTACAGTTATAACTAGTACCTTGAATCACATCTAAAGGAAATTGGCAATTTGCTGAAGTGTTGCCCACTGCTTTTTAGTTTCTCATGTGCCTGCATGCAGCCTCATCCAGGATTTTTCTGGACTCATACTTTCCTCTTTAATCTTGGTTGCTGTTGCCTATTTCTTGTCATTTATTGCTGTTGTCAAGTATTTCTTGAAATTCATGCAGATTCTTACTGTCTCTTCTCTCCTGCAATGCAGTTAGCTTCAGAATCCAAGCAGCTAGTGTACCTAATTCAGAAGACAAAAGAAACCGCTGTTGCTGAACCTTTCTGTTCTCCATAGTCTTTCTTCCTCCAGGTTCTCCTTTGCCCTGGAGCTTCTCTGTATCACCTCATTCCCCACACATGCACATAGCTATTTTGGTTCCAACAAAAACTCTACCATACATAGTCCCTCATATTACTGTTTTGTTTTGCTTTATCTTCTGGAAGACTTCTGGGTAGTTGTGTGCTGGATTTTTTTGGGATTTTCTGTTTTGTTTTCTAGCCACTGCCAACAAGCCACTCAGAAAGAGCTGCCACCTTCCTCCTAAAGTAAACCATGTGCCTATTTCAATCTATCAATTCTACCTTCTAGAAAGGTACTTGCTTCCATGTACCATATGTTCCTTTGGTGGGAGATAATCACAAACAGCTGATGACCTTGGAGAGCCAAATACACTGTCTCTCCCAACATTAGGTAAAGAATAAAGGACACTAACAGATTGTCCATTGCTAAGTTAGATATTGTTATCATCCATACGCCTAGGAGCTCTATCTGTTTTAAAGTGATTTTTGTATCTGTTATATTGTTTTATGTGTGATTTTGTCTATATGTTCAAATAAACCAAATCCACACTATATGTGCCTGTCTAACCAGTCATCTTGTTGAGATTGGCAGCTATATAAATTTGAATTAAATTCATCCACTATGATGTCCCATCAGAAAATCAAAATTAATTAAAAATGTACCAGCAAAGCTGCAAATAATACTCTCTGCCCCTGTCCAAGAATGGTGGTTCATGGTCATGATAACCATGCTTAGGTCCAACTTTATGGTAGAATGAGACTGTCGTTTTCTTACAGACACGTATGTCCCTTTGGGAGTAATCTATTCTATTTGGATCCAATTGGTCAATGGGTTAAATTACTTATTCTCCTTATATTCTTTTTTCCTCTGCTTTCTGGTTCTATCCCCATATAATACATTGCCAGGCCAATAATTTTGTCAGGTATTTAAAATGATCACGTGTAGAAGACTTTGCAATCAGGTAAAGCGACTTAGAAAATTAAGCTGAGGACTGCATATGGGCTTAAGACAGGGGTGAAATCCAGCAGGATCTGACAGGTTCTGGAGAACAAGTAGCGTAAAATTTGAGCAGTATGGAGAACCAGCAAATACCACCTCTGGCTGGTCTCAGAGTGGGGTGGGAATGGAAATTTTGCAATATCCTTCCCCCAGGAGTGGGGAGGGAATGGGGATTTTGCAGTATCCTTCCCCTGGAGTGGGGTGGGAATGAAGTTTTTGCAATATCCTTTCCCTGCCATGCCCACCAAGCCATGCCTACCAAGCCACCCACGCCCACCAAGCCACGCCCATAGAACCGGTAGTAAAAAAATTGGAATTTCACCACTGGCTTAAGAGTCACATATTTAAGGAAATGTCTTAGTTTGAATCCATAGATAGTGCAAAAAGAATGCTATTGCAATCTGTCTTTTCAATGCCCCAAGTATATGAGCACCCAAAGGAAACAAAATGAAATGTTTTGATTCCTATAGATAAAAGGCAACCTACAAGAAAATCAGCAGAAAACTTCAGGCACTTCCAGAAAAGCTAGTATGAGATGAGAATTGTCCATTTTCACAAAACAGATGGACTTGTCAAATCCCAATAACCTATTCATGCTAAACATCAAACACATAGAGAAAGAAATGATAAACTTGTGCAGAGACTGCTGTGCTAAATGAGCCACTTTAAAAATGACTCACATTGGAATACAGATATTTACTTAACTGAACTGCAATCAGACAAAAACGTAGCAGGAATTGCGCTCTTAATTGAAGGACCACTCACAGCCTGCAACTGCGTTCTTTCAAGAAGGAATATTTGTCCTCATCCAAATCAGTGACATATGGAGAGTACTTTTAATATGTGTCTGACTGGAGCTAGCAAATGAATCTAGAGCAGCTAATCTATGAATGTCACTGATTTTAAAATCTCTATAACATTTTTGAAAGAAAAATCTTTCTTTGATTTTTAAGTGATTTATTTTAATTGAAAATAATTAAACGTATTTACAATGGATACTGTATAATTTATAAGATGCGAACAAGCAACTTTATAAAATATAAAAACTGGAAAGGCCTCTGTTTTAATGAGCATTTGCTTTGGCAACAATGTTGGTTCCAGTATGACTTTATGGAATAATTGAGCTCAAATTCCAATTAGATGAGTAACCAACTTCTGTTCAGTTATTTTTTACAATGTGTGTGTTCCAACAAGCTGAAAAAAACAGAGACTATAATTAATCTTAAAATATAACTAAGAATCCTCAGTGACATAAAATTTTAAATAATCAAAAATTAATAAAATTAGAAATTACAGTCATTACCACACTAAATAGGAAACAAGCATGTGAGCTTGCAAAATAGTCTCTGGTTAAGAGATACTAAGTTCTTACAGGTAATAAATAGTTTTAACTGAGTAGAAAAGAGCTTTTCTTGTGCTTAGGGCATCTTACCAAAGATGTTTAAACACCATTAGCAAGGAATTGTGGCAAAGGTGGTGTGGGTTTGACTAATGAATGCTGTAACCTAGTTTATACTTTCTCCATCTTACTAAAAAAATTGTTATAATCAAAACAATGATGGCAGTAATTTTCCTGGCTGGGACTTATGGCAATGAAAATGAACATATTACCCAGAATAAACCTGTACATTTCAAGTAATACAAATCCATATCGCATACAAAAATCTACAGGATTGGAAAAGAACAGACTTATATGGAGCGGGGGGAAAAAACAAAAGTAAGATTCCCAAATTTGCAAGACTCAAAAGAGAAAGAGAAAGTTGGACTAGCATTTCTCAGACTACATGATATAAAAAACTGTCTAACAGAACAGAACAGAAAACATTTCCTAACAGCATAATATCAACCATGGAAGAAGCAATTAACCATTGGACTTCATAAATACCTATGTTATAAACAACATATGACAAGAACTTAAACAGATACAAGAAAAAATTGTTAAAAAATTGGAATCCCTTGAAAGCAAGGCTAGCTCAAATGATTCACACTAGTATCACCATCAAACCACCATTTTTTAAAATTTCAAGGTTAATTATAAAAAGAAAGATCTGATCTTAGATGCCAGTATGATGCATTTGGACTTGAGAAACAGACTAAAGGCACAGTAAGAATTGCTTAATGAAGATAGGAATCCCCCATGGTTAATCTGAAACATTTATATAGAACCAAGATCATTTATTATGATATATTTATTAATTGTTACTGAACAAATCAAACACTTCATGATAAAAAATTGATGGAACATTTTAAAAAGTAATAACAGTGGAATAATAGGAAAAACTGTGCAAAAAAGCAATAATATTTACATAAAGGCACAATCTGATGGACCAGTCATACAGCAATAAATCTGGAGAATGCTATATCAAAGAAGGGACATATTACCATATATGATAATACACCAAAAAACCCAGAAAATTCTGAAAATAAAATTCAAATTGAGACCACAATTTTTTTACAATGCATGATCCGAGGAAGTACAGTGATAAAAATCACAATTCATTAAGATATTTATTGACAGTGGCATGAATTAATTCAGCATGAAGTTTCATTTTGTGTTTTCATTTAGATGTTACTTTCCCCACGTTCTTTTGCAACTATATTTGTATTTTGGTCTGTGACTGCAAATAAAAGTTATTATTATTCTGTGTTTTCATTTAATTAAGAAAAAAGAGGGAGCACAATATATAAGATAATATAAAAAAGCTTCTCTTCCTAACTAAAAATTCTTATTGAGAAAAAAAAATCCACTGTGAAATGTCTGATTATTTTTGCAAAGATCAAATGTTAAGTTGACCTAAAACTGTTGAAATACTTGCAAGCCAGTCTGGTGCTGCCTTTAAATAAATATAGAGAAAGATTATACATATTTTTAGTTCACTAATGACATTTTTGAAAATATTCAGGGAAAAAATGGAGTTCTTTTCTGAATTCTCTGCATGCCCATGTCTGCATTCACCAGCAAATTGTCACAGCATGAGAATTCACTCCAAAAGCAATAAACAGTTGACAAGCCGTAAAGACATATTGTGACAGTCTATTGAAATATTTTTGAATGGGTAGGGCAGGATGATGTATCTACACTGTGTGGAATATTAAATACTGAAACATAGATGGTACTGAGTGAGAAATCAACTCAGCCTGGAAATCTCTACCAATTTGGAGATATACTGTGAGGTCAAGGCAAATTGAAGAATAATTTGTAATACAAAAAGTCAATGAGAATATTGGAGCAAAGTAAAATCATATATAACTAACAGTGCTGTAGTTTAGCTCTCTTGATTTAGATCATTTGTTATAAACTGCAGCGACAGCAAATTTGTGACAAACTTCCCTAATTTGTGCCCTTCTCATAGCCAAAGTAGGCAGGTTAAGTGGTAGGGTGCTTTCTCCAAAGACCCAACTGTTAAGATAGGTATCAGAGATTTGAACCGGATCCACCATGTCAAAAGGTAATGTTCTAACTACTGCACTATCCAGCTGCTCGAATATAGTACATTTATTCCCATTGCTATTTTACTGATCTAGGTAGCTGTTGCACATTCTCTGCTGTCGATCCACCTTTTCTTTTCTTCTTATAAAGGTGAAGATTTGCCCTGTCCAGTTGTATCCCACTGTAGGGAACAATGTTCATCTCCATTTCTTAGCCAAGGGAGTCACCATTGTCTGAAGACACTTCTATGGTCATATGGCCAGCATGACTATACACTGAGACACACAGAATTCTGTTTCCTTCCTACTGAAGTGGTACCTATTTATCTACTCACATTTGCATGCTTTGAACTGCTAGGTCTTATATAGGTCTTATTCAACTGCATTTGTTTATTTAGACATTTTGTTTGTATATACATAAAGTTGTGTTATTTGTGACCAATATATCACAGTATTAAATGCTGCATCTATATATAAAAAGTTAGACCAGCTTCAACAGACTAGTTTTGAAG